AAGGCATCCAGACCTTAGCTACAGGAGCCACCAGGAGCTAGGGTGAGGGCTCAAATACTCAATGTTGAGCCTTTCAAATTTAGAGCAAGTCAGGCTGTGTCTGAGCCACAGGGTGTGGAATCAAGTTCAGCTCAAAACTTCACATGGGTCTCTTTCCAGCCGGTTTCCTGACCACGGCTGTCTCATATGGCTATCTGTTACCCAGACATTGTGGGAGGTAACACTGGGAACCCTGAAGTGAAGTTGACCTGTGACTGCTCTGAGTTTCAGGTTCAAACACTTAATCCTTTCCTGGAAGGATGCCCGAGCCTATGCTCTCTCCAGGGACATAGTGGGCACCTGGACTGGGATGACTCAACTACCACTGCCTGTGGAAGGCCTCCCATGGGAGCAGAAGTCTGTGCTATCCTTACAGATCACAGCAGCCACTGGTCTGTTCCACTGCCATGTTTCTGCCTAGGGCCCACTGGAGTCCCCAGCATTTGTTTCTGCAAGTTCAGTCTCCCTTTCGGGAAAGCCACAAGTTTGGCAATGGGGAGAAAGTCCAGACGATTTTGTTCCCTTTTCTTTGTAGTGTTTTGTCGCTTCAATTTCTCTCTAGCTTTTTTTGGTTGATTTCTTGGTAGCAGCCATTCTTTCTGGGGTGAGGTGGAATCTCAGTGTTGTTTTCATCTGCATCTCTCGAATGACCAGTGATGTTGAACATTTTTTCATATACTTATTTGCTGCTTTTACTTCTTTGTCTGAGAAATGTTTGTTCATTTCAGATGCCCATTTTTGAATTGGGTCTTTGAATTTGGGAGGTCTAATTTTTTTCACTTCTTTATATATTCTAGATAGTAGTCCTTTGTCTGAGGAACAGCTGCTAACAATTTTTTCCCACATTGTAGGTTGTCTCTTAGCTCTGTTGCTGGTTTCTCTTGCAGAAGCTTTTTAATAAGATGAGATCCTAGTTGTTGATTTTTTGTGCTAGTTCCCGTGCTACTGAGGTTTTATTCATAATCTCTTTAGCTTTTAATTTTCCTGTCAGTACCTTCCCAGTTCTTGTGGAGCTACTTCTTCTTCTTCTTCTTTTTTTCCTTCTTTCTCAGGTTATTATTTACTAGTGTCAGAATTCTGAATCTCAGAGAGGCTGAGCTGCTGCCCATCAACCACTCCACCATTTTCCAAGCCAAGGGGCCTTGTTCCTTTTAATGGAAGGTGTAACCATACCATAACTTTATTGCTTTTCAGTGCTGATTGCTTCTTAGTTGGTCATTGTTTTAATGTCTTTTTGGTGGACTGAGAAAAAAAGGTTTGTAAACAATGGCTTGACATCTTCATTAGGTTTCTGACTTTTTCTTCTTTCCTCAGATATTTTTTCCTTTCGATGTGGTTGTTGAATTCATACAGATACTTTCAACTCAAATTCTCAGCTATTTTTCTTCGCTTCTTCAATTATACCTCTGATCACCTTTTTTGGTGCTAAAAATCATGGTTCCCAACTCAACCCACATATTTACTCATTTTTTAAATCTCAAAATATACAAACAGTCTTGGAATAATAATTGCAATACTACTGCCAACAAGGTGATAACTGAAAACAGTTTAATTTTTAACAGTTTTTTTTGTCTTGAGGTTATATTTTACTAAAATCTGTTCATTTAAATTTTGGACTCACTGAAATAATCCTTTTCTGTGTGTTCATGCTGCTAGCTTGATTCCCCACTAACTAGCTCATTCATTTGCTTCATTTTGCTTTATCTTTCAAAGATTACATACTTTTAAAATCTAGGTTTGGTATATAGTCAAGGTATATTCAGAGAAGTTTAGCTTTTATTTTTATCCCAGCCTTTTTCACTCTGTTCCCTCTGTTTTCATTGTCTTAGTTTTTGGTTTATTTTTACTCTTTGTTTGTTTCTTTTTTTTTTTTTTTAGTATCGGTAGGTTTTAAAAATATAAGCAAATATTCAATCCCTTCTCCTCTTCTAAGATAAAGGTAACATACTATATACATTGCTTCTTTTTATCTTGTGTATGCTAAAGAACACTTCACAGGAATATTCAACTTATGAAATAAAATAGGGGTTCCTTATCCATAATTCCCAAATCCTCAAAGCTTTGGAAACCCACAAGTTTATTATAACTTGCAGCAAACTCATTTAGAAAAAAATCAGATATAAACATAAAATTATTCATCTATATTTTTACTTATTTTTATTATGTTTCTGATGCTGAGATGTTTAATAAATATTTTATACATACTGTTACCAGTTTTGGGGTGGAATGTTACCAGGTTTTGAGGTATTGGAGTCTCCTTCTGGAAGTGGTGTCTAGGTTCTTTTCGTCCTGAGAAAATAATTGGTCAATACAAGCACAAACAGTAGGAAAGGTTTATTAATGATAGGAAAAGATATAGGGTCTGCAGAGAGAGTTTGGGCTAAGTAAAAGTAGAAAAAGAAGTATACCCTACAGCGTGAGGGTGGACTACCATGCAAGAAAGAACACAGGGGCCAAAACTCAATGTGGACCGTCCTTTTTGTATCACCCACTCTTTAGGCTGATGCCAGGTCTAGGCCATCCTATTAAAAACTTCCTTGAATTTGTGAGAAATCCAAATGCAGGGCTTTGGGAACTGTTGTGTGCATGTATCCTGGGATTTTGTAATTAACAGGTCAGACCTACTTTACCAGTCAGCTTTGTCATACCTTAATCTCCTATCTCAGTACCTCTATGGAAGTGTTAAATATAGCAGCCAGGTGTGCACAGTGGCACATGTTTGTCATCCCAGAATTGCTATGAGTTCGAGGCCAGCTTGGCTTACATAGTGAATGCAAGGCCAGCCTGAATTACAAAGAAGCTATATATATATATATCACCATTCAAAACTTGAAAATGATGTTTGGAAACATATTTGGCTCCAAGAATTTCAGATAAAGCATTCTGAACCTGATATATACATATATATATATATATGTAAAATTCATCAGTACATTTCAGTCACCTTCTCCCACCTCTTGCTTTCAGAGTTTTTAAAAATTTTTTTGGTACTGGGGATCGAACTTGGGTCCTTGCGCTTGTGCAGCAGGCAGGGAAACCACTGAGCTAAATCCCTGGCCCTCTTTCAGAAGTTCTTTTATTTTTCCATATAATTTATTTTATTTTATTTTTTTCCCCATTAAGTTTATTGGTACATTTTCAGTATAAAATACAGTTACATTCATCATTGGGATCTTGCACCATTACATGAGTATCTTGGTTCTTATTTTTTTCCCCATTCCCCTGCTCTCCCTTCACCCCCTCCATCCTTCCCTATTTGCAAAGATTTTGTTTCCATTCTTTTTCTTTTCTCATATGTTTTCCTTTCCCTTTTTTCCTTTCCCCTACTGCTCCCACTTCCCCTGCACCTTTAGACCTTTTCTTCCTGTTACACAATTTCAATTATACATTTTTTAAATTGCAATGTCAAGATCTAGGAGACATTACTACAGATTTTACAGAATTTAAAAGGATATAGAAAGCATATTACAAAAATCTTTTTTGAAATAAATTTGACAACTTCTAAGAAGTACCTTGGAAGACAAATTAATGAAACTAACTCTGGAGGAAATATAAAATTGGAATAGCACCTATTAAAGAAAGTATATTCCTAGCTGGAAAACCTACCTATATGACAACAGCAGGCTCATAAACATTTTAACTGATAAATTATATCAAACAATTAAAGCAGAAAAAAGAAGGAACACTTCTCCCCTCATTTTAGGAACTCAACATTGTGTTAATCCTAAAACTGGATAAAGATAATAGAAGAAAAAAGTATGAACAGGGATAGAAATTTGTTTAACAAAACAAACTATTGGAAGTCAGATCTGGCAGGATGTAGAAAGTGGTTTTGTTATAGGGATGGCAGTGTTGGTTCAGCATTGGAAGATCCACCCCCAAAAGTCATCATTTTAACAGAGGACAGGAAAAAGCCATATGATCCTTGTTGTGCCCAGATCGCGAAGTCCCAAAGACCACCAGGAAGCCAATTCCTATGTAAACACACGAGGGCCATTTATTCAAGCTTGAGCAGGGGCTCCCAACCATCACTGATGCAGCGGATCAGAATTGAGAGCCCCGAATTTCAAATTAGTGGGGTTTTTATTGTGGTTACAGCGAGGTTTGGAGATTTTCCACTTAGCAGTTACATGATTGGTTGGCATTTAGCAAGCATGAAGTGTATATTTCTGATTGGCTAGGCCCATCGAGGGTTTGAGGGGCGGTTACATGTAGGTTTTACGGGGGAAAAGAGGGACAAAGGTTAGTGGTTGACTGTCACGTACTGATGGTCAGCACATTGACAGATTGTTCTATAGATAGTGGGCCTGGAACGTTCATTTCCTGGGCACACAGATGGTTGAGTAATTAACTTAGGAACTTTGCTTCATTACAGATTGTGTCTTTTGTCCCAGAGCAAGCACATTTTAACCATTAATTTGTGAGGACAATAGAGACTAGGGGAAGAGTGGATTTTAGCAAAATGGAGTCACTTTGGTCTCACATTCCCCCCTTCTCATGATGCTATAGAGGGCCAATCATGGGCCTCTGGGGGTTAATTCTATTAGGTCTGTAGAGACTAGCTGGTATTGGGACCTGAGTACCATCAGCTGTACAGTGTTAATGCGTTCTCTGATGAACGAGACTAATCTATTGAGTATACACGTTCCAAGCGTTAACAGTAGTAACAGAATAAGCAAGGGGCCCAGTAGCGTAGAGATCAGAGTAGTCAGCCATGGGGAGGATTTAAACCAGGATTCAAACCAATTTTGAGTTTGTTCTCGTCCTCCCTCTGGACAGATGTAGAATGGGGTGACTTGTAAAACGGCTCTTTGGACTGGGTGACTACACCTGGGGGCAGAGGAGGTCAGCATTTTTATATCACAATCATTGATATTTTTTCCACATTCAGGTTTTCCCTTTGATTTTGCTTCCCAATCCCTGATATCCCATGTTCCTGCTGCTAGTAGGCACACCTTCTGTCAATGTCTCCGGACAAAGACCCAGTCTCCTGGTTGATAGCGATGGGGCTCGGGAGGTGGTCCGGACTCATACAGGGCCTTTAATTTAGGCCAGATGTCCTCGTGAACATGCTGGAGGCTTTTTAAGGAAAATAACAGTTTTTGATCATCGAGCTCAGTGAGCACTTTGGACTGAGGATTAGGGATAATGGGAGGGGGTACACCAAACATGATTTCAAAGGGAGTCAGTCCCATCTTATAGGGAGAATTGTGTACCCTATAGAGGGCAAAAGGTAGGAGAGCCACCCAGTCACCACCAGTCTCTAAGGTTAATTTAGTTAAGGTCTCTTTTAGGGTCCTGTTCATTCTCTCTACCTGTCCTGAACTCTGGGGCCTGTATGCCCAATGTAATTTCCAGTCTGCCCCCAGTACCCGTGCTAAACCTTGACTCACCTTGGAGATGAAGGTGGGTCCATTGTCTGACCCTAACATTACTGGGAAACCATACCTTGGCAAGATGTCTTCTAGTAACTTCTTAGCCACAACTTGTGCCATCTCATGTTTGATGGGGAAGGCCTCTGTCCATCCTGAAAAAGTATCTACAAAAACTAGCAGATACTTGTAACCATATCTCCCAGGTTTTACCTCAGTAAAGTCCAATTCCCAGTATGCTCCAGGTCGGTTTCCTCTCAGCCTATTGCCTGGGTTGGCTTTATTGTGGGTAGCATTTGTCAATTGATAGGCTTTGCAGGTGGCAACGATATGCTCAATTTTGGAGTTAGCATCTCGAATCTTTATTTCAGCATGTCTCAGGAGGTCTTGCATTTTTCGAGTGCCCATGTGGGTGGCCCAGTGCATTTTGGAGAGAACTTGTTCTCCTAGTGCTTCAGGCAGGATGACTTTACAATCAGAGGATTTCCACCACCCATTGAGGCACTGGGGCATAGGTAATTGTTTCATCCACCTTAAGTCTTCTTCAGTATACTGGAGTTTTTCTGGCAAGGCAGCACTTCCTGGATCAGGCAGCTGATTGGTTAGGGTTAAATCAGCCTCTAGGGCTACCTTTCGGGCTGTCTGATCAGCTAGGTTATTTCCTCTAGCAACTGGAGTGTCGCCTTTTTGGTGCCCTGGGCAATGAATAATGGCCAATTTCTTTGGTAGCCAGAGGGCCGTCAAAAGGGCAAGGATCTCTTCTTGTTTTTGATAGTCCTTCCCTCTGCCGTCGATAGTCCTCTCTCCCTGTAGATGGCCCCATGGATGTGCGCGGTGGCAAAGGCATACCGGCTGTCTGTATATATGTTTAGCTTTTGGCCCTGCCCCAGAGTCAATGCTTTGGTCAGAGCTATGAGCTCCGCCCATTGTGCCGAGGTCCCGGTGGGCAATGGTTCCGCCCAAATGACCTCAGTCTCTGTCACCACAGCTGCCCCGGTGTACCTGCAGCCATCCTGAACAAAGCTGTTCCCATCAGTATACCAGGTATTTTCAGCATCTGGCCATGGCTGGTCTCTCAGATCAGCTCAAGTCCCATGTACCTGAGCCAGGATGTCAGCACAGTCGTGGAGTGGAGTTTCTAAGTCCGGGTCTGGCAACAGTGTAGCTGGATTCAAGGCAGCCGGGGTCTGAAAAACAACTTGGGCTGGGTTTAGGACTAAACTCTGGTAGTGGGTCAGGCGGGCGTTACTGAGCTATCGATCCGGAGGCTGTTTTAGGACTCCCTCAATAGCGTGGGGGGTGGTCACGTACAGTTCTTGGCCCAGTGTCAACTTGTCAGCATCTTTGACCATCAGGGCCACTCCCGCGGTCATCCTCAAACATGGGGGCCATCCGGACGCAACTGGATCGAGTTTTTTTGATAGGTACGCCACTGGGCGGCACCATGGCCCTAGGTATTGGACTAATACCACTTTAGCGACGCCTTTGTTCTCATCAACATACAGGTGAAAGGGCTTGGTTATATCCGGCAGGCCCAGAGCAGGCGCCGACAGCAAGGAGGTCTTTATCTGATCAAATGATTTCTGTAGTTTTTCAGTCCATTGGAAGGTCTGATTGTCTTTAGTTACCTCATAAAGGGATCTTGCCAGTTCTGCGAACCTCAGTATCCATAAGTGGCAGAAGCCAGCTGACCCCAAGAATTCTCTGACTTTTCGAGGGGAGTTGGACGCAGGTATTTTAAGAACTGTCTCTTTTCTGGTGCCAGACAGCCATCTCTGTCCCTTTTTAAGTATGTAACCCAAGTAGCTCACTTCAGACTTGCAGATTTGGGCCTTTTTGGCTGACGCCTGGTACCTCAACTTTCCGATGGTGGCCAGGAGTCCTTTAGTTCCCTCAAGGCAGACCTCCTGGGTTTCAGCTGCTATGAGAAGATCATCTACATATTGTAACAAGGTTAGCTGGGGGTTTTGAAGGTGGAACTCACCCAAGTCTTCATGTAGAGCCTCGTCAAAGACGGTGGGGGAATTTTTGAACCCCTGAGGCAGTCGAGTCCAAGTTAGCTGTCCATTGAGGCCTTGTTCAGGATCCCTCCACTCAAAGGTGAAGATGTGTTGGCTCTTGGGCACCAACAGAAGGCTGAAGAAGGCATCTTTCAGGTCTAGGACTGTATACCATTGATGACTCGGTGGCAGGGAACTCAAAAGGGTATAAGGGTCAGGTACCGTGGGGTGAATGTCCATAGCCCTCTTATTCACTTCATGGAGGTCCTGTACTGGTCGGTAGTCATTTGAGTGTGGCTTCTGCACCAGTAACAAGGGGGTATTCCAGGCCAATTGACAAGGCCTTAGTATCCCTTGTGCTAGTAACCTCCTAATGTGTGGGGTTATTCCCTGTCGGGCTTCTAGGGACATAGGATATTGGCAGACATGGACAGGGTCTGTTCCTGGCTTTAAGTCTATATATATAGGTGGTCTGTGTACAGCCAGCCCCATGCCCCCAGTTTCAGCCCAGGCTTGCGGGAACATTGCAAGCCATTTGTCCATCTCAGGGCTTGGTGGAGATGGCCCTTGATGTAACCGATATTCATCTTCTATGCTTACAGTTAACACTTGGATTGGTTTGCCTTCTTGATTAAGGACTTCTGTACCCCCTGGTTGGAAATGAATTTGGGCTCCCAACTTAGTGAGCAAATCTCTCCTGAGTAATGGGTACGGGCAATCGGGAATGATCATGAACGAGTGGGTTACCTGGCCCACTCCCAAGTCTACCGTTCTTTGGGTAGTCCATGAATATTTTTTCATGCCTGTGGCTCCTTGAACCCAGGAATTTTTATCAGAAACATGGCCATGAGGTTCAAGTAGGACCGAATGTTGAGCTCCTGTATCCACTAGGAACTCAACAGGTCTCCCCTCCACTTTTAGGGTTACCCTGGGCTTGTGGAGGGGTGCTGAACCCCATCTCCCCTAGTCACTCAGTTCATCTATAACCAGGATGGGGGCCTTGGGGTGACTTCCCGGCTTTTTAGGGCATTCTCTGGCCCAATGGCCTTCCTCTTTGCAATAAGCACACTGGTTCTTTCCCAATCGGGGGCGATCTCTATATTCCCCCTTACCTTGTCCTTCTGTTGCAATCTTTCTCAGATGACGTTCACCTTCCTTTGGCTCTCCCACAGTGGTAGCAAGAAGGATCTGAGCTAGGTTCCTAGTTTGCCGATCACCAGCCTTTGCCTGTTTTTCTTCTGCAGTCTCTCTATTGTTATATACTCTATCTGCCACTGCCACTAAGTCCTGAATACTTTTTTTTCTCCTAATCTGTCTACTTTTTGTAACTTTCTCCTGATATCTGGTCCAGCTTGCTTGACAAAATGCATAATGACAGCCACCTTAGCCTCCACGGCTTCTGGATCCATGGGAGTAAATCTGCTGAAGGCCTCTAGGATCCTCTCTAGAAAGGCTGCTGGACTTTCATCTTTGCCCTGCTGAACATCTCCTACTTTGACCAAATTGGTGGGCTTCCGAGCAGCCACTTTGAGACCTCCCAGCAGAGTCTGGCAGTAAACCCGGAGTCTCTCTTTACCTTCTGCCGTATTGAAGTCCCATTCGGGTCGGGACAAGGGAAAGGAAGTGTTGATGGTGTCAACATTGGTGGTGGGTTGACCATTGTCACCAGGAACCAATTTCCTGGCTTCATTTTGGATTCTTTCTCGCTCCTCTGTGGTAAACAGGATCTGGAGGAGCTGTTGACAATCATCCCAGGTGGGCTGATGGGTGAACAAGACAGTTTCTAACAATTGGATTAGATCTCTGGGATTATCAGAAAACTTGGCATGCTGGGTATGCCAGTTATAAAGGTCACTAGTGGCAAAGGGCCAATATTGGAGAGGCTGATTGCCATGCTCATCAGGGGGTCCAATCGTCCTCAATGGGAGGATGGTGGAATCCGCTGGTCCTGCCGGAGAGGCCACGCGGTGGTTACGGGTGTTTTGGGCAGGGCCGTCTCCACCAGCGGCTCCCGCTGGAGCTTGTATCTCCTCACCCACCGCCACTGCCGGGGCTTCTCCCTCCGCCCTCGCTGGCATGGTGGGAGCGGAGGAGAGGGTTGTGGGTAGTAGGGAGGGGGAAAAAGAAGATCTTCGTTGGTTCCCCCTTGAAGAACTGGGTAAAGCAGCGCAGTGGGTTTGGTTTGTCTTTTCCAGTCATCTCCTTGGGTGATTTTCTCACGCACCGCTAGGACTACTGTTGCAGGCAGCTGTTTCTGTGGCGACAAAAAGGGCTTGACCCAAGAGGGTGGGTCCTGTACCAAGTTTTCCCAGGTAACGATGTATAGTACCTGGTCAGAATGTCCTGTTCGGGAATGAAAAATAATCTCTTTGACTTTTCTGATCATTTCTAGATCAAATGTACCCTCCAGTGGCCAGTTTATTTTAAGGGCTGGCCATTCTAAGCTACAAAGAGTGGCTAATTTTCCCTTTTTAACCTCTAGACTCAAATTATGTTCTCATTTTCTAACTTCTCTGAAATGACCTGTTATCAAGGAAAGGGAGGTAGTCACAGTCTGTCCCATGTCTCTCAGTCAGATAACAATAAAACACAATAGACAAGCAACCGAGCCAAGTAGATAAACAGAAAGCAAGACAAAAAAGTCCTCCACTCGATCGGAGGCAAAACTCTCGGGGCACTCCATCCCCTTCAGGAGGGTCTGGAACGTCTTCCAAGCCCGGGTTGGCGGCCTGCCAGTGCGTCCGCTTAGACCTTTTGCCGACCTATTCAGAAAATGGGCCCCAAATTACCGATCATAGGCAATTTATGGACACAGAGACACTTAACAGCTGGCGTTGACCCTCCGGTTTGGGGGTCCTAGGGGTCTTGGGGATCCCGGACGAGCCCCCAAATGTTGTGCCCAGATCACGAAGTCCCAAAGACCACCAGGAAGCCGATTCCAATGTAAGCACACGAGGGCCGTTTATTCAAGCTAGAGCAGGGGATCCCAACAGTCACCGACGCAGCAGATCAGAATTGAGAGCCCCGAATTTCAAATTAGTGGGGTTTTTATTGTGGTTACAGTGAGGTTTGGAGATTTTCCACTTAGCAGTTACATGATTGGTTGGCATTTAGCAAGCATGAAGTGTATATTTCTGATTGGCTAGGCCCATCGAGGGTTTGAGGGGCGGTTACATGTAGGTTTTACGGGGGAAAAGAGGGACAAAGGTTAGTGGT